CGCCTCCGGTGGGGGGACGGGGGTCGAGAAGGTTCTCGACGCGATAGTGTCAAAAAGAGCGCCCTGTCAACCCCCCTCCCTCACTTGTCGGTTTCTGCGAGAATTCCATTTTGGGACGTTTTGATGAGTTGTCTATGTTCGCCACTTCTCATTGGTCGACTTTTTATTTGATATGTGTACTGTCATCCAATCGTTATGTGCTTTTTTCCGATCCATATGACTGTCTGAATAGGGCATGTATTTTGACTGTGGCATTAGGTTAGATAATGAAGTGTCATTTTAAAAACAGATGAATTAAAAAAAATAGGTATTGGTGTTCATGCATTACCATATCACGTTCTCCAATATTGTCATGATTATTCGTGTAATCAATACGAGCGCAATCATTATGTATTTGTCAAACTGCAGTAAACTTCAATAATTTTCATGTATTCCTTCACAGTTCATTTCAAGAATTCTGTTTTAGTCGCTTACGTAGTTTCGCTTGGTTCACATCAGCAACTGGAAGTTGTTTGGATTTCATGTCAGAGAAATTTTATTTTTGGACCTTGAGATAACAGCTTGGAATCCTGTTTCGTAGATTCCATTCCACGCGCGTTTCACGATAAACCACTGGCTGGTGTAAGCGTTCGCCAGCTTTCGTAGCCTCCATAGTAGTTTTCTCTTTGCGGCGAGAAGAAAGCTCTGGAACACGGTGTATGACCTCAGTATCTGGTGCCGCCGGTGAAGTTTACCTGACTACTTTGGTCGTTGAATCATATACTCTCTTCAAGGTTTCGAATGTTCTTACATATCCTAGAGCCTTGAGTGTTATTACGTTATTTCTTCGTCCCGTTCATTCGTGTTTCTAGTGCAGTAGTGCGATCTCTCTCGCTGCACTACATTTTACATATTGGAGTTGGCTCAAGGTTTCACCTGCTGTTTCGCTGGTGTCATTGCCCCCATTCGAATTCTTGGAATAATTTGTCAAAATTTCATTTGAATGGTTATTATTAATGTGATTTTATCCGCATTATTTCTGAATGTTTCATTTTACTGGAAGAGAACGAGTGTTTTCTTGAAGAAAGATTTCTTTATTCTTATATAAATTGCTCGTACTTAAGATATACGTTCTTTACTTTTGTAGTCCGTCAGAACCAAATTGATTTAAATATACAATGTTTCCCAGAAATTGAAACATTTACCTTTTACCATATATTTCGACAATTTCCTTGCTTATGAAATAAAACAAATAGTTAGAAGCACCCAGTTTTTTATAGATTGGGATTTTCGATTAGTAAGAGTGTATGCAAAGAGAAATGTTACTTAGATTCGTACATTTTGTTATGTCAAAAAGATTTCCTAATTTTTGATATTTCAAAAAGATTTCCACATTTTTCATATCCCAAGATACTTTTGCTCTATTTACTTTGAACTGACAAGTGAGAGAATGAAGCATTATAGGAACGCTGAACTTGAACTTCAGAGTCGCTTCAAGATTCTTAGGAATCCACGGGTCTTTGGTAAATAGACTTCCCATTTGAACTTTTAGGAAATATTTTATTTTTTGCTATTTCAAAAGAACAAAAAATATTTAATTTGATTTTATAATTTTTAATGATTTGTCAACAAAAAAAAATTCTTTTCGAGACATGTTAGAGCTGAAATATTTGTCCAAGTATCAAGCTAAGGAAATATTTAATTAAACTTTCGAGCATTGATTCTTGATGATGTGGACATCAACAGGAAACCAGCGATAAAGCTGATTTGCAACTTTTTATAATTATTAACGTCATAAATTAACTGTTAATATCTCCCCAACATTTTTGTCTCTTTTTGTTCGGTCTTCCACTAAAGTAGGGGCTAGCCATATAGTTCAAAAATCTTCTTTTTTTCAATTAAAAATATAGAATTCGCTTATATGGTAAAGCGAATTAAAGTCTAAACTTGGCAGTGAAAAAGTTTGATTATCAGTGTATGAGAATTGTACGTACAGTAGGAGGATCTCATTCTTTTTAAATTCTCGAGAAATTATCTAATTAACACAATTAAAAATCGCCATGTAAAGATGGAAATGTACGTACTAGGAGGGGAGTGCAGAAAATTTATTTTGAAGAAATGACCAGCAAATAGCACGGCAGTACTATAATAACTTTCTACATACAAACTATCTACATCCGTATTTTATGTTGGCATGGAATGGTTATGTTGAAGCAGGGCGTAACGCAAGACGGTTGGGTTGAGATAAAACATTTCTAAAATGATCTTTCAATTTAGACACGATCTGTTCGTTAGCCTATTACATTGATTTTCTTTGAAATACGTACAGATTGTTTTGGAAATCTTGTATGGAAGGGCGTAACTTCAGTTACCCGTTTCTTTAGGATGAATGAGTATGTGAACTAAGACCAAGACAATCCATAGACGAAGCTCTTATATTCGAGGCAAATAAATGATGGATTTTCGACATCACCTGACACGCAAGTTGCCATTTACTCGATCCTTTCTAGATCTTCTGTGTTCTCATTGGTTCCACGGTGTCTGCCATGCTTGCCTGGTCGAGTGCCGGTGCAGTACCATCGAACGCGTATGATGTCTCCAGTCCCATGTTGATGAATCATATTCACTCTTCCCTCATGATCTGAAGACGAGTACCAGACCTGTGCTGTAGTATCCATTGGAAAGAGATTTTATGGAAGGGCGTAAATGTCTCATCTAACGTTACTTGTTGCTTCTAACCTTGCATTATAGTGCAGTGCAGTGCATATGCGAATAATCATTCGGTGCGGCATTGTATAACCGGGCACGGGCTGGCAGTAACTCGGACGGGACGGGGGCGGGCGGGTCGGGCGGGCGGGCGGGGGTTCGGGGCCGGGGTGGGTGGGCGGGCGGACGTGAATGACGTGCTGGTGGGTTGGGCGGGCCGGGCGAAGGGAGCTGAGCTAAGCTGATTATTGCGGGCGGGTCGGGCGGCTTGTGCTGCGAATGCAATTCGATCGGTGAGTGCAGCGCCACCGCCCAGCATTCTTTGAGTCGCGTCGGCTCTTCCTTCCATTGCACGCGACGCGACATGGCCATCACGGCCTTTCCTAGCGGACGATTCCGACGCCCCGTATCGTAGGCTGTCACGATTGTGGTTATGTCCTAATCACTTAAGAGATGGCAAACATTTCCGAAATGTTGATTCATTGCCAGACTGATATATTTAAAGGGCGACAAGTGAAAATGAAAAAAAAATACTTCGATTGACAGTGTACAGGAATAAGAACCTCAAGCGTGTACAAAGAATGCACAACTCCTATTTACCAGACGTAGCCTTCCAATGTGAGCCAAGATGTAGGGGAGATATATGAAAAGCAGAAAATATATTTGGAGAAGTCCTGTGAGGCCTTACTTACGGTTTAAGGACTTTCTGGGTCAAAGTAATTTGTCGATTAGAACGTCTGCACAAGCAAAGAAATTAAAAATGGACCAGATGGCTATGAAATATGGTCGCTTTGGCGGCGCACAATTCGGTTGTGCAGTTTGTGTGTCGCCTTGGAAGAGCGGGGGGGCAATTGTCCTTGCAGTTTGTGCAGGACGTCGGCGCCGCGCGCACACGCGGGCAATCGCAGGCTTCGGAACTCGAGTCTGCGGGCAATTGGGAGCTGGAATGTCCCCATAGTGACGTCACTGCAGCGATATATAAGTTCCCGGTTGAATGAAACCGAAACAGCTGATTTACGTCAAGTGCACGACTAAATAAATCGTACTCTAGGGATTGTGCAACGTTGACGATTAGGGAAAAGCTGTAAGAGCTGAATTATCGAGGCACGGTCAGGTTCAAATATCAATTAATAAAATACTTCAAAAAATACAAATTTATTTCGAAGAATGTGTGTCATAACTCCAAATTAGTTTATAAAAACTTTCAGGTTGAACTAAATCCGCTATCAATTAATAAAATGAACCAATAATATAAATTTATTACAAAGAACCTATATCATAGTTCAAAATTAGTTTGTGAAAACAAATAAACGAGGAAATGCTGAAACAAAAATACGGCAGACAGAGCATGACCGCACTCCCCATGATAGAGGGCTGGAAGATGCGTGTGTGGTCGGAGTGCGTGCAGGTATGCCGTGCGATTTCTGGGATCACACTGAACCTAAACTTCGACACACACGCTGTTGTATTCCCAGAACGCAAGGTGCGAAACGACAATAATAAATAACATAGGATGTAAATTCGATTCCTTCAAGGGGCTTAGGAAGCATTGCCAACAGTCGCAAACTGCCCAAAATTCACCTGGTAGCCCATTTAAGTTCTCCCTATAGCCACTGGCCCTCTCCTTCAGGACCGCAGTTTGAGAACGTATTACATAATAAAGAAAATTTTGAAATGAAAAAGAAACTTAAATGGTATTACGTTAATTAAATTTTGTTCTAGTATTTGTTATAAAGGATTATTAATATGAAAGTTTCAATTCGTCCCTCTGTTCATGGCAGATTAGTCTAGAATCCTTTATTGCGCCATAAGAAGTAATTAAAATAAAATGTGTGTGGATAAAAATTGTTTAAACGTCCTGAAAGAAAGGTAAAAAGAAGAAAGAGCATTAAGTAAGATCTTAAAATGTGCAGATTCAGAGACAGAAAAGAGAAGAAAATGGCTAGAAAGTGGTCGGAGGTGAGAAAGAAGTATCGTGTTGATAGTCTGGGAAAGGAAGATGAATCATCAAAGGAGAAAGACCTAATGGATCTGTAATATTTTAGTACCTGCGTTTATTTTATTTGCTTCACTTTATTAGGTTGCCTTTTAGCCTTTTACGACCCTCTCAACGCCCCGCCGCCCCGGCCACCCTCCCTTTCCGAGAGCTCTTGTTACTTAAGGTCCTGCTGCCCTTTCGTTTGCACATACGTATTTTTACGCCTACAAACGCCTGATGAAATGTACTATTATCCAGGAGGTGAGACAGTTCCCTTCCTTGGTGACTCGAAGGGCCTACCCCCATTGAATTTACACAATCATCTGTTAAATTAGCTACTGAGGAACCCATGAATTTTCTTTAGAAACTGGCGACTTAACAAAAGGCGATTTCTTCTTTGTTAGGTCGTCCAAAATATTTTAAACAGTAGTTATAAAGACTAAGAAAGTCCAATATTGATGCTTAAAGCAAAATTTATAAATGTTTAATATGAGAGAAATCCATTTTGTGGCGGTGACGAGATGTTGATAGAGGATATTTTGGCATGAGACTCTGGGAGTACATGTTGTCGAGTTACATTACATAAATGTGGTTTTTAGAGATGATCTTTGAAGAATAAATTGGTTTGGGAGTGAAAAAAGTATTTATTTGACGCACCACAAGTAAAGTGATACCTCTTTGGCAGTTAAAGAAAATCTTCTCCAGTAACTTGAGGTAAAAGTTTCAAAATTGACCTGGACTTTTCTTGTCTTGCAAATGCTCATGCAACTGGGAGGCCCCTTGTCGAATGTTGTGATGCCGATGTTTCTACTATTTCGTCGTGGTTTTCCTTATGGCTGTAGGGTGAAGTATTGGACATCGCGCCTCCAGTCGTTGGCTCTAAAGTTAACATTCGTTTTTTGCCGGGCATGGGCGGGTGGCGAGAAACGTATGTCGTCCATTGACGAGAGCCTGGCGTGCTTCGATTTCCACTTGTACTTCACAATGGCTTTGGCTGCTTTGCCTCTGAACTCTAGGTGCACGCCATTGTATTAAAACACGACAGCTTTTGTCGGGACATGTGTGAAAATTACTGACTGGCTCGTGAATGTTTAATTCACATAATTTAAATATGCGATGCGCAAGGCGGATTGAATTTCATGAGACAGGGTAAAACGGAAATAATTGTAGTTGATGTCGAATTTATTCATGCAAAATACAATACGTCTTTTTTTATTAGTAAATAACGAGTTTTATCACCATATTTTATTACATTAAATCTTAATTATTAATGAAATATGTACTCTGATGTTTTAAGCTATTATTTTTCGCGAAATATCTTTCGGGGATATATTTAAAGAATTTTAATAATACACAGTCTCGTCTTCTGTTAATTACTGCAGATTCAGAACGATGCACGATCTATCTTGAGCAAATTCCAACGCAGAGCCGGAACTCGAGCACATGGCCTCTTGGCTTCGCATACCGCGCCGCCCCCTTCCGCTCAATAGTGGAATATTTTAGGAAATGACGTGGGAGCTGGCCGCGAATTTAAATTCCACGCCTGAGCTTTGACGTGCCAGGAACCAGACCCGCTGCTTGTGAATGGGATGCGGCGGCGATAGCGACCACGCGCAATGGCGCAAATCGGCGCAAAAGGGTCAAAAACTCGTTATTATTAAAATCCTTGCCAGCCAATCTCAATTAACAAGAATACATTTGTTTAATATTATAAATAAATAATAAAATAAATAGCATAAAAATAATAAATAGTAATGAATTTAATAAAATAGAGAAAAAAGAAAACATTGTTTAACATAATAAGGTGAGTTTCAGATCGTATTGTGTTGGGAACGTTCTTATGTTTTTATACAGAAAGTACAGTGTAAAAGAAAAATATATGTTTCGATACTGATGAAGGGGCAAACTGAGCCTCGAAACGTCGCTTTGTTGAAACGTTAATAAATGGATATTTACTGCAATATTTGATTCACGAATCTCTTCGTCGGATAAATGTCCCAAAAAATATTTCCTTGCCGAAAACATCTTCCTTTCCATGAACGATATTCGCAGTTGGTTGCGTAGATATGCGCTGTCGTGGTCAATCCTCCCAACTGTCACCGCTGGGACTAGTCATAATTCTCGGTCGATCCACTTGGAATTTGTGGTGGACAATGCGGCAGGTTTTGTGGGATTTCTCCCGCCGTCCCGGCCTCTTGAATCACCATTGTTCCGTTTTCATTCACATGTTCTCATGATGTCCTGTCCAGAAAACCATTCACACATTTCGCACTGGGCCGTAAAGCGTGGGCTCTGGAATAATAATAATAAAAAAAGAATGAACAAAAAATTCGTAGACTTGCGTCAATGGTCCCAGCCGAGGTGCTTCGGCTTCAACTGGACGCCCGAGTCGATGCCGAGAACGGCCTGAAGGAAATATCTACTGTAGCTGGTCATATTGTGGTGTCGTGTGATCAGTTCCAGGATAATGCCGAAGCAATATTTCGAACGGCGGGCCTCAGACCGCGTCTTTTGGTTCCTCTCAACCTGATCACTTTTTCACTTATGGCAGACTATTGTTTTAATGATTGAAGTAGCTTAATGCGCTTGAATCAAACCGGCTGCGAAGACTCGTTGGCGTCATCCTCCGCCTCTCTAGTAGCAGTGCTCGTCAAACTTACAAAGCTGCTAAGTTCCTTTTTAAATCATACTGTTGCCAAAAGAAAGTGAAGCAGAAAAAAAGAACTTTCATCAAGCTATACACGATACCAAAGGTCTGAAGTACACGCAAAACATAACGGCATGACCTCAAGCTCACGCGTCCTCAACTATGACACTGACAATGACAGTTGTGCTGACACATGAAAGCAGCTGTTTTCCTGAGGCATCGGAGCTCAGTGAAGCAACTTCAAGTTGGAAAACCTGAGAGTGTCACGCAAACTACCCGACATTTTCCCGCGAGCTACTCGTGGTTGTAGACAGTTTGGCGATTTCTGCTCTGCACCGTGGTTGAGCGGGAGGTCCTAGGCGGCGAATTTTGGGCGCCAGCTACACACGAGTCGCTTTTTAACCTCAGTTTGGAAGGGGATTCTAGAGGCCGGCTGCTGTGATCGGTACTTTTTCATGGTTTCTCCGATAAAGGTCAGGTGAATCCTTCGTCTTGTCCCATCCCGCCCCTACTTTCCCCTTTCTCACACGTACATTTTCACAACCACATATGTCTGGAACCATACGGATGCTTAGAGCTAGTCCCGGCAGGGATCGAGTCCCGCTAGGGAAGATACCTTTTTCGAAAATTTAAATATTTTCCGCCCAACGTTGTGTGAAATAAAGGCAATTTTTAATTTTTGTTTAAACATTTTTTCTCAAAAAGGGTTCCATCGATTTTGATGAAAATTTGTTGATGAATAGTGAAGGATATTTAAGAAAATTATGCATATCTCGTGTTAGTTGAAAATCCTGATTTTTCGACAGTTAAAAAAATTCAAACTTTTGTCGCCGTCTTCCTACAAGTTCAATTATGAAGATACATTTTTCTTAATGAAATGTGTACATCAAAAATAGATTTTCAAGCAAGGTATTTTTCAAGGAATCGAGTAACTTTTCGAATCAATGAGTATTTTTGGAGTAATTGGGCGTCAAAATTAGTCGCCCGCTCTGAAAATACTGCGCTTCTTCATCGCAGTTGCAGGTATTTGGGGGCAGTCGGATGCTAAGTTAGAATGTGTGTATATTTTTTCAGATTTCTTTGTTCGCTTCTTTCATTTGAGCTTTTGTTATATGTTACAAAATAATCTTTTAGAAATTATTTAAAATCTTTAAAAATAAATAAGAAATAAATATTGCTAGGCTTCAGTAGCCCGCTCGCAATTTACGCAGTTAGATGCTACGTAAGTAGTACAAGTATATTACTTCATATTTCATTTTATTATTGATATTTATGTTATTTAATTTTAATTGTCCGCATACTTTAATTGTATTCAATATAAAAACGAATAGATGAGTGGACGTTGTTGATTGTCGTAATGATCGTCGTTGATTGTTGATGATTGTCGTAACGCCGCACAAATAACACTATAATGACGGCTGCTATTCTTTCGCGGAAATAAAAACAAATACTTTTATATATTTGTTTAATATCACAATACTATAGTGTTTAATAATTACTATTATATATTTTTCTATCTATTTGCTTTCCAACGCTATCAGTATCGTATTATTTATTACCTTTCTTGCATTCTGCTTAATTTTCGCACCTAATGTTCTACAACTTTAAATGAGTTTTGCAAAAAATAATTCGGAGAGATATTGTGGTAAAAATAATATTACATAACCATTACTAATAGCGAGAAAGTACGTGCTGTTGTAGCACTACTAGTTTCTCATAACCGCGATGCTTTCGATCCAGGTTATGCAGTGAATTTCGAACTCCATATCGAAGGCAATAACAAGCAATAGCGTAGTATCTGTAAAAACCAAAACTAGTTTTGGCCACACCTTACGTCATTCTTCCACCGTGCGGCGGCGGCGGCGTGAGATCAGGTGGAGGCCGCAGCGAGGAGGTGCTGACGGGAGAGGGGGGGGGGGAGCTCCGCGCTCCCGTTTCAATTGACCCTCCGCGGCGAGTGGCGTGCGCCTCCTGGAAAAAATAAAGCCAGAAGGTGTTCGCCCCGCCGCGCGGCGGAGTAGGCGAGACCGGGGGCGGGCGGTAGGCCGAGATGGAATGAGGCTACCGAGATGAAGCACGGGTCGGAGCCGGAATACGGGGATGAGGGTGGCGGAGGCGTCGCTCGAGGCGGTGGAACGGTACACAGTGTAACGTAGCGGGTTATTATTGTCATTTGTCTCCAACTATAGCAACGGGATGTCTCTGGTAAACAAGCAGAATGCTTAATGAGAAGGGATTCCGAAAATAGTACTACTGCTGCCACTGCAAGGTCTCTTCGCAATTTCAAACAAACAAACGAAATCAAACAAGCTACAAATACTGAAAGGCGATAGAAATATTCTATTTTTATTAGCAGATAATCAGTCCGTGTATCATTGTGTGTGTTCCTCCGCCAAATGCGGTGACCCTCGGTCCACCATTCATGTCATTTGATGCCACTGCGTCTGCTGGTGGTGGTGGTGGGGGGTTCGGATCCTTCCTGGGCATTTTAAAATTGTTTAAAAAAATTGGGATTTTTATGTACCCCAAATTCGTTTTACTCAGGTATCTCCTCGAGCGGGGCACCGTCGCGGCCTAGATGAGCCCTTAAGGTCCCCGGGGGTCACCCGACGTTTGCGGTAGTGTACAGCCTGTAAGGAACAAGAATGTGGAAGGAAAGGTCGCTCGCGGCTCGTGGCCCGTTTGGTAGGGTACTGCTTGGGCATCCTTCTGGCGCTGATCTAGGAAACCTTCAATAACTTCCGTTCTGAGCAGTCTGTCGCAAGAATTCCCCGCCAGATAGTGATTAAATTCGGCACAGCTGTGTAGCCAGTGTCGAAAATTCTCCCCTCGACGGCTCGAACACTTGGACTTCCCGATGAGCAACCCATGAAACGGTGTTGCGTCTGAGCTGTCACAACCAGGACATTATTCATCTTAATGGTCAGCGTGTATCCGAGACACATGACCATGCATGGAAGTGTAGTTTTCTGTTGTTGCGGTGCATGCTGGGCCGGGCGTAGTTTTCTTGGAGACTGCACAGCCGCCGCTAATCGCCGCCCAAGCAACTGCTTATCTAGGCGGAATAGTACCTCGTGGATTTTTTCTTTTAGCCACGCTCTGGAATTTTTTTTCCAGCTCCTCCGGAATTAATGATTCTCTTTCTCTCGTGGGACATTCACGACGTTTAAAATGGAAAGCGTGCTTGAAATATTGCAAGCCCTTGGCGGGTGTTAAAAACATTGTATGTTTCTTCGTTTGCATTGAGAAGAAAAAATTAAGCCCATGTGAATAAGTTGAAATTGTAGGAAGTTGTCTGCTCTTTAACGCGGGATGTTTAGCAATATTTGTATTTTACCAATTCGATGCTGCTTGCTTCGACAGTGTAAGTTACAGAAAGGTGTAGAATACATGATTATTCCTGACTTGATGGACATTAATATTTGCAGATTATAGAACAAGTATGTTCACCATACGTGCATTGTGTATCCAAACTATTTGAATGTTGTTTTGCAATTTGTATTAAAACAATGTGCGTGAAGAGGCTTCATGCAGCTTCGAGTATTGAATTCAGCTTACATAAATGTTTACACATGTCATTGTTTTGTTCGTCATATTTTGTTGTTTGTCATATTTTAGCATTTGCTTTTCTCATTCAGCGATAAGCGGCTGTGTACAAAGGGTGTAAATCAAACTCGCATCGACTGTTCGGATAGCGTTGCTTTAACATTTCGTCTTGTCCTTCACTTTACAATTATCGTCTGGTATTTTCCCTGTCAACACTTCGCATGAACAGTTCTTATTAGTCAACTGTTAGTGTGACACATTGATTTTAAGGAACCCCTTCCACCATCACGTCTCTCAGTAGCACAGCATGGACTGCAAGGGGAAAGAGATTGGCAAAAATATTTACATATTTAAAATTAAAAAAAAAAACCTTTCCACTAAAACTACCTTCCCTCAGTATTTAAATTTGGTGTTAAAAATGAAATATGAGGTGCAGTTGATGGAACGTAAAACACATTTTTGTACGACGAGAAGTAAACCAATTATCAGTGGACCTTGAACACAAGAAAAAATAAACAATAGTAATAAGAACATTAATTCGTTAACAGCAGTTATTTCGTGAATTACAGCGTATCTAGCGAAATACTTCTGTCTGCATATTTTTATTTCTGCGCTCGTGCTAATACCAAATTCGTATTTTCGCTTCACCCGTATTTGTATTTTTCCCCTTCTTACCTAGTAAATATCTTTGCTTTGCTTACGAAAGATCGATAAGTAGTATGTGGTCTACTAGAATGAATTATTAAAAAACAGGGAATTCATTAATTGGATAATGTATTCAAGGTAGTGTATGGCATACGAGTGTTAGCCGCAGTTTGTGTTTCTTTTCTTGATTTAGGAGTACTCCCCAGCTACAACTCATTTCTTCCATTGTTCTTAACAGACGGTAGACTGTTAAAACCGTAACTACCGGCGTCCGGTAAAAGTTGATTTTCCTTTCTCTGTTTGGTTGCGTTAAGTCGCTATAACTGAACAGTATTACTAAAAAAATGTATTGGCATGCGAGAGATGGGGTAGCGGTAACCTGCCTAATATGTAGGCTGGAAGAAACTGAGTTTGAATCTCGGCGCGGAGAAAAAAAATTGCCGATCAAGGTGGCTCAGGGGATCACTTGATGACATTGCAATTTCCAGGAGGTCCTTGGGTTCGAGTTCAGATGGTGGAAGTATTTGCGAGTTCAGCCGCCGTTTGGAGGATATTGATTGCGACGGCTGCTGTGATCGGTGGTTTCTCCGATCAATACCAGGCTAACGCCGGAGCAGTGCCCTAACAAACGGGCCTTGAACTTCGCGCGATATTCCTTCCTCTTTATTGTCCTATCTTTACACCTTACGTACACACATTTACATGCACTACACTATCACACTTTCCGAGAGAC